CATAATTTTAAGAATACACTCCTCAAATATCATTCACTTCATCTCAAAGGGTTTATAAATCAAAAGTTCTTAAATATCTCAATAAATGTGCCTACGTACAATTTAATCATCGGCGGGCTTTAGAAATTTACCTCTTTTGGGCGGACTACTTTCTTCTTCACTATCATCTTCATCCTCTTCACTATCATCACTATCTTTGTTTTTGTTACTATTACTAAACTTCTTAGAAACAGTTTTACCTAAACGCTTTGCCATGTCTACATCACTTATTTCTGGTTTGTTACTCTGCAGGCGCTCCCTTGCCTTTTCTTGTTCTCTTAATTCCCTTGTCTCTTGTTCCATTAGACGTTCTACGTCAGGATTCATTCCTTTGAAAGACATTCGTCCATTTAATAATCTTTCAATAGGAACCATGCTATGTTCAATGATGAATTGGGCTCTGAAAACAACAAAGGAATAACATACCACACAGGTAAACTAATCAAAAGGCTGATAGATCTGAACTTACCCCTCTGAAGACTTAAGAGCTTTTGTGATGTCAGTTTCAAACAAATCACGACTTTCTAAATCTTCTTGTTCTCTCTCTGCTTTTTCTTTGCTCTTCTTCATGAACTGGAGTGGTATAGAAAACGTGAACATTAGTCCTGTGCTTAGTACAGCAAGTGGTAAAGAAAGGTTAGAAATTTTATCCAGTGTTTTAATCTTACCTTCATATCCAGTATGCCCTTCGAAAGGTTCCTTTTGTGTGCCCTTCGTTGAGCCATGTTGATTTGAAGTGAATTTCACAATGGACAAGTAATTGATCGTGTAAAAACAGAAATTGAACAAGGTGCCGTTCCAGCACACTTGTGTATGTTGTGATGTCTGTTCGTCTCTCTCCCCCCCCCCCCCCCCTCTCGTCCCCCCCCCCCCCCCCATCCTCTACCAGTTGTGCTTATTTTTTTTTAAAAAACGACTGTAACTGATAAGTTATAACAAATCTATAAGGTATTAGAAGACCTTCCTCATGTTTTCCCCCATGTACTGAAAATGAGGTGCGAGAATTCACTATGATTACGAGGGTGTCAAACAAACTTTGTCTTGAAAATCGCGGAGATTCAAATGTGGCGCTTTCTGAACCGTTTCCTTTCTGGGTGCGGCAAGCGATAAACTCTTTCCCAAAAGGCGTCGACTGTTCATGTGGCATGTAACATTGCGCACTGTTCATCCATTGTCAAAAAAAGTTCTTCTTTCTAAAATGTTTTGACTTTGAAGCCCTCGTAAATGGTGCAAATATTCCATTTGGTTCATTCAAGATTTCGTCTGTGAACCCGCATGCTAATGAGTCATCCCGTATGAATTGTTGCCTCTAGAGGAACTTCCGCGACCTCAGGAACTACTTTCTTTGGTGGTGGAAGCCATGTTAGATGACAGCTTGAGTGAGAATCTTGTCGTGATGGTTGTGTAGACGGCAGTTGAGTTAAACAATTTCAACTGTGCAAGTTACAATCAAGCATTTGGATTACCTCACTCTTCATCCTGGATACGTAACACCGCAGCCTCAAAATGACGACGCAAATACTTCCTATACGGTTCCAGGAACATTTACAGGTGAGTACTGGGGCCTAAGTCTTACGAAACGCCCATTTCCATTGATTCCTCGCCATTTCACATTCTCTGTGTAGAATCTTGCCACATTATTATTTCGCCATGTGTGATTTGTGGTGGCTTTTTACCCGTTAGCCCCTTCATTTGCAATGTCCATGTGGTTAGGTTGACGGTTGACCTACCATGGTGGGTGAACCTGTCATGGTGAGGTTCTGACCTGGATCGACGAACAGTTCTTGCCGGTTATCTGCAACCCAACGCGTTTTCTGAGCACCCTTTTCTCTCCCTCATTGACCCTGGCCCTTCCGTCAAACTTCACACTTTACGCCTTAACCCAATGAATGAGTGGATGTCTCATTGACCCGAGTGCACATCAACTGTCATTTGACGGCGGTTAGCCGCCCGGACCTTGGCTCGCCTATATCCTGCCTTATCTACTTCGCTTTATTCACGATAAAATCCTTACATTTGTCAGTGAACTGAGGCCGCAGTTGAGCTGATCAACAGTATTATTTTTTTTCCCTGGTAACTCAGGTGTTTGATGACTCATCTCCAAAGGGATGGTATAGATGCCCCATTTGTCACACTGATAAAAGCAAGTGTTATGAGACAGTGTGCATTGATGTGTGCTCTATGTCCTGTCAGATAAAGGACCCAGATTTCAGAGTAACCTGGAGGGCTGAACTTAGTTTTGATTTATAATGTATTTCTAACCTCAATGTTAGTAGTTATTAATCGGCACTGGTACTGTGCCAACTTGGGTGTCACCAACACATGTTTTTATTAGTCCACAGTATCACCAAGCGATTTCGTTCATTATTTAAATCCCCATTTCTTATTTTGTCTAAATTTGTATTTTAACACGGCTACACTAATCAAATTCTCCCAATTGCATTTCCAAGCTGACTTCAATGGGACTTTTTTAATTACTAGATTTTTTGTTAGTATTCAGTGGTTGTAAAATCTCACTTTCTTATTGGACCGTATGTGATTCCCCCTCACCTCCCCCCCCCCTTCCCCCCCATGTGGGAGGGACTTGGTTGGTGAATGTTGCTGGCTTGTCATTTGAAGTGGTGTAGACTAGACTAGACAGCTCCCCTCTCCCCCCCTAGTCTGAAGTGACATGATTGGGACAGAGTCCCGAAGGACTCGGGAGGCTGTTGTAGGTTGCTCTTAGACTTGGGACGACTCGGTGCAGTCAGGGCGGCTGGGGTCGGCCCGCCTTCATTGCGGCCGGGGGGGTTGATAGATTACGCGTTGCAAGCCGCGCTGTGGGCGGGTCTGTCGCTCACGCCTACCAGTGATACCAGGCGGGGGGCCTGCTGGGCTGGCGTTGTCGGGCTGCACGGCCTGCACGGCACGGCTGGCTCATTCTGCGGCGGGCTGTACCCTTTCCCTTCTCGAACGCGTCCGAAAGAAGCTCTCTCTATACACATGTAGTACACACAGTCTGTGGTGTTGCGCACGCGGCCCAGGATGCCGCCGCAGCCCATAGGAAGAAAACGGTGGGG